CTCTCTCTCTCTCTCTCTCTCTCTCTCTCTCTCTCTCTCTCTCTCTCTCTCTCTCTCTCTCTCTCTCTCTCTCTCTCTCTCTCTCTCTCTCTCTCTTTCTCTCTCTCTCTCGGATGCATCAAGCGCGAGTGGAATTTGTTTAAAATATTTCATTGCTCCAGCGAGATGGCCGGTGATAACGCAAACGTCTATGAAATGGCATTTTTGCTGAAGGAAAGATGATATTCGTTTTGATGTTTCAATGATGGTGATTTCGACAACGCACAGTTCAATTTCAACGAACACTGCTGTAGTAATAGAACGTATAAAAAAAACGATGTGTTATTATTATTATTATCTCAAAGAAATTTATAAATCCTATTTTTATGAAAACGTGTATTAGTTTCACGGTATTCATTGAAATTTAAATGGAAACGATTTCCACGAGTATCTTGACACCGATACAATATTATTTTGCCGTAAATTTATATTACGAGCTAACAAGAGCCGAGAGCGCGTTTGAGGTGCGAAATTAATTTTATATTCAATATTATTTTGATTTAATTTAACTCGGTCGCGGCTCATCGAAAATCCTCCCCGCGGTGTGCATGTACATGAAAATGTTTTATTTGATTTCAATTAATTAATATCGCTTTGCTTCATCGCGTTCTCATTATCAATTAGCCGAATTCAATAGCTCTTTTTTATCGCACCTATTCCAAAATATTCGCTTTCGCGAATATTTTATTTAGTTTATCGCTTGCGCGCTTGCCGCAATACGATCGTCGAATTTAACGGTCATATAATATCTTTAAAAATTTCCAGTTTTATTTTTTAATTTTAATCTGTTAGCGTTCGATCATTTCTGAAATTAATTGACTTACATTGACTGGCGCGTAAAAGGAAAGAGAAAGGGGGAAACGGATTCAAAATGCATGCGTCAAAAGGCTAAACCGTATCTCGGAGTTTCGAGCGCTTGAACTCGTCGCAACTACGACTCATTAACCCATAATTGTTCGCGATTGTAACTTTATTAACGTTTCCACGACCGTAAATTTCATAAGAGACCTCACCCTACTCGCGGCTCTTGTAACTTTACCGTCGTAACGGCGGTGTTACATTTCAACGGAGCTTCTCGCTCGTCGCGCGACGAGCGATAAGGGTTTCTATTCACTAAAAATTTGCACGCGCAGTTCACGTTTATTGCGCGCGTGACACGAGCCCGACGCACACGTGGTGTCTCGTGTGACATAATCAATTTCAATTAATTCATTTGACACAGTAGCCGGATAATATGCGCATCCAACAACCGCAGCTACAGTGTCAATCTCAACCTCGAATGCGAGATGGAGAGAGAAAGTGCGTTCCCGCGGTAGTTAATCGATTGCTAAAAACGTCACACGCGTTTCAATTTCAATTTTGAGCTGAAGAGAGCCGCATTCTAGCCGAAGTGAAACTCGATTCGACCGCACATTTCCCCGAAGTTCCACGCAAACTGTTGCGTTCCGCGTGTGTGCGCGATTCCGTCGGAAAATGCGCGAGGAATTTCCTTCGCGGTCGCCAAACAACAAATTCTTCGGCAGAGACGTTTCGCACCGGCGACATCACATGCATTATCATATATAAGAGATATTGACAGTCTTTTATGCTCCTGCAGGATCGCATTTTTATTGTGTAAGACTTTATTTAGCATCCTTTTATCAAGAGAATGAAAAAATAACTACGAAGTAAACTACAATAATTATTGACGGAAAAATTCCTTCGGGTTTTTATTTTATCGAAAAATTCGAAAGTATCTTTTGAACAATCTAATATATTCCGATGAGTGCAGTGGCGTCAATAATTGATATTTCAGTATCAAGGGACACGATTGTGCCCGCTTTCGTGATGTGAGAAATAGAAAATAATTTTTCTTGTACATTTAGCGCGGAGAATTCTGGAAAATTTCAATCTGAAAGCGTGACATTTAAATTGCGAGGTAGGAAGACGCCGCAGAAAACGTGTCTGCGTTTTAAATTCGACAGCTTCGACAAGAGTGACGAGGGAATTTCCCGAAAGGAAAACGGTTAGTCCATCAGTCATCACGTGCCGTTTATACCTGTTCGCATGTATGCATCGCCGATGGCGCGATCCCATGGATATTCGTGAAAATTCTGCAGAATCTTAACAAGACTTCGCTCACCAGTGTGTTATTAGGCGCAGACGGGAGTGCGAGAATCGGCGAGCACTAAGAGGTCAAGTTCTAAGTACGATTCAATTAAAACGTGCCTGGCGTTTGGTTGCCGAGCTGGCTCTTAATATCCAATAATCGATGTAATACCTAGTCGGGACGCGAAAACCGGAATTCCCCGTTGAAGCCTATTATACGGTCGAAAATACAGATAATGCAATTATACGGCTTTACACCAGACACGACGCCGAGAGGATATTGACGCCGTCAGTATTGACGTATCCTCGTATCGCGCTTTCGCGTGCGAAAAAAAATCGACGAAAATATTAAGAGGAAATGAAAATGTAAATTAGTGTTCGTTAACGATAACTCGTGGCCGTCGATTCTGATGAATGTTACTGTGAAATAATACATTGTTATTGTTGTTTTATTAGCCAGATGTATGATTTTCAATTTTAGTCATCATTTTGAAATTAACTTCACTAAACATATTTCATTTTGCATTTTATACTTTCTGCCGCTAATTTGTATCGTAATTATTTTTATCGTGAGAGAACGTACAGCGGACTTCTATAAAAACGACTATCATCATTAGTCTTATTCATAATGTATTGTCCGCGTTTGCATGAAAAATTACTCTATTCTATTCGCGCGATAGACTAAAGCTCTCACGATTTATTCCATCGACCCGTACATTTTACTTCCGGCACATAATTTTTCATTGCAAAGCCGTCTTTTGGTGACTCGATGTTTTTAACATTGCGTGGAAAGCGAAAGCGTGACGTGATGGAAAAAAGTTTCTGTGACTCTTGTTATACGAACTTGACTTACCGTGAGATTGATGAGATTTTTATTAATACGTCTCGGGAGGAAATTGATAAGTCTTTTAATCGTTTTTTTTTTTTTTTATAATTGGAGAAGCATCATTTCGGACAGTGTAAAATGTTAGATATATTAGTGGAATACGATAATACGTCAAGATGGAAAAATGAATGAAAAAAGAAGAGTAAAACTACGAGCTATTTTATTAGGAAACAATATTTAATTATGTACATTAAATGCAAGTTAATTTTATTTTTCTATTTTTTCTCCAAATCAATTTAACCATCATTTTTCAACCATTTTATGAAATTACTTCACCGACGTAATCAGGGAAGCAAGAGCGTCGAGAGACGAGTCGCGTGTGATTCGGGCCGCTCATTCGATAGATATGCATTACTAATACGTTGAGACGATAAAGTCGGTGAAGTGCAGATCACGCTCTTTTTTTTCCCCCGGACTCTTTGTCTCATCCTTTTTTTCCAGTCTCTTTGTCTCGCTCGCCCACTTTGCTTTGTGTGCATACAAAAGTGATACTTGCCAGCGGATGTCTTCCGGGCAATTGTTTTCTCAACGACCGTGGCTGTTCTATCGAGCTGCAAGTAAACGGTGGTAGCACATGCCGCTTCAGTGTGGCACAAGCTTCGTGTTAATAGCGAGATATACCAGCCAAGAAGCCGAGAGAAATAAAAGCTTAACGCGCTTTAAGTCGTTAGTTCACTCATTTCCCGCTTCCTTATTACGCTTTGTAATATTATCGCTTTTGCTTACATTAACTGCATCCTGAATGGCAGAAAATGGCTCGATGCAGAGAAGCTCTTCAGAAAGCTCTAAATGCACAATGTGCAAATTTTCACTGAAATCACAGAAGCTTATTTCTGCAATTACACGTAATCCATCACTTTATGTAACCTGTAAGCTAATAATTCAATCTATCTTAGAAAAACAGGAAATGTTTTATTTTGTCTTAAATTATCAATATCATAATTTGTACATTATTTGTCAAAAATTCGCAAAATTTCTTGCAGAAAGTAAAATATAATTGTTAAGTTAGAGTCCAGTTTACCAATTTTCTCTCTGCTGCACGTATCTCTTTGATAATTAATTTCATGCATTGAGCAGCACCATAAAAAATTTATTAATTAGACACGATGATGTCGATTGCAGGAGGCGTATAGGAAATGGATGTGCAGCTCTCTCGTCCCTCATTTTGCTCACGACAGTGAACCGACGCCGGTCGAAATTTCGAAGGGCAGCTGGGCTAGTAGCAGATTGAGGCCCTGCCGATCTTTCTGCTACGCTGTAGAACAACGTTGCCCTTACTTACTTCCGACCGATCGCGCTCCTGCACTCTCCACGCAGTACGCCGGCGAACCCACCTTTCTTTGCGGAGGTAAAAATACGAAATCCTAATTAGAAAAAAAAGGAGACCAACAACCGTCGAAGTGTTCGATTTGATGAAATCGCTATTTGCTATTTGCATGAATCTCTTCGTATTTCGATGGATCTCTAATGCGGAAATGTTAAGAGAAATTAAGAATATTAGGATACGTAAAGAAATTTTAAATAAATTAAAGTAGAGAATGAAGTTTAGTATATTGATGTGTTTGTGAGAATAAATTTAATTGATAGATGTAATAGATAATATATTGCTAATGATTTATGTAATGTTTTTCTAAGAGACAATCAATTACTCTTGCAAAATTATTCTTAGAAGGAGCTCTTAAATTAATTGACAACTGGCCTTTCACAACTGTCTGAAAATTTGGCGAGTTGTCAGCAAGCACGTGCCAACTAACTTGTTCGTCTTTAATCAATTAAACTCTTCTACGCGACAACATCACATTCAAGAAATAAGAAGTTACCCGCACACGTAGAAACCATTGCTCACACTGAATTGTTTACGAAACTGCGATTCTTTGCGCAGACGACTTTACAAGCACTTTCGTGTGATTTTATGTTGCATAATTTCATAGCACGCATTCAACATGCACGACAGCTTCTCTTTCAAAACTCTTCTCTTCACTGAAAAATAGTATAACGACTCTTGAAACTTTATAAAAAAAGATGTCTCTCGCAAATTTGCTTCTCGAAATTTTGAAAGAGGAGCGACGACTGCTCGGCGATTGTTCACGCGTAAGATCGTTGAAAGAAATAACGATTTCAGATCCGGAAATTCCGGAGACCGGCGAACAGGCCGCGAAGTCCGTGATGGCCAGTCCCGGCGAGTGCTGCTACGATTCGTGTACTGAGGACGACCCAGCGGCTGGTCTCTGCGCCAATTGTACAGAACCGTGGAAACATGGCAAGATTCACGATCCTCCGACAGCGCCTCATTGTAACATCGATTCCGCTCAACCAACTGGTAGGTGCGACAAGAGTTCCCTTATTGACTTCTTGATTCAGAACCAACGAATTGGTTAGAGAACCTTTCGAAAACTCGCGTTGAAAAATTTATTCGAAACGTCGAAGTATTTTTACGCGCAAAGAAGAGAGTGAAAAGGATTTTAATTAATTTTGTTTTTAATAAAAAAGATCGAAGGATTTTTAGAACTTTAATTGAATTTTTAACAAAAAGGATCTATTATCATTTTTCCTGCGTCCAAATTTATGCTGTAATTTAATTTCTTTTGTGACTTTGTATTTTTGTTGGCAAAAACTCATTTTACGTAACAGAATTGTTCTTATCTTGTCTCTTGCATCTACTTCTCCTCTATTTTCTTGGCTAAACTCTTACAGTTAAATTACATCCTTTTTTTGTGTGTTCCTTATGTAACGTTTTCTTTGGCTTGATCTAGATGGTCCGGTTTCGCAAGCGAGCAACACCAGCACCAACACATCCAGCACCTTGGCGACGCCGACCACCACCGTCGATCAGGACACTTTGTTCTGCGGCAACGGTCGAATCGGTCGCGTCAACGTGTCCTCGCAGTGTCCTCGCTCGAGTCCGTCATCGATTATGTGTTTTTATATAATGTTAATTTTTCTATTGGTTTAATGATAAACTTACCCTACGCCTTCGCAGCGTAGATGAAGGCCTGAGGTTGCCTGCAACCCCACCTTACTGCCATAGAGTTAAATGTTAATAATGTAATAATATGAGTTAAATGTTAATAAGCGTTAAAGCTAAACATAAAACGTTAATGTTAAAACTAATATATACATAATGGATGTAATATATGTAATATATGTAATGAATGTAAAGTATAGAGTAGAATAATGATAAAAATAAATAATTTCTTTCAAAATGTTTGAAAGACTCGATTTGACATGACTGAAATTCAGCTCGCCCGTTTCCGGCTCCTCCAATTTACCTTCTCTTTCACTCTCCTTTTCGCTGCCGTCATTAATATTGTAAGCGACTGCGATACCTCTCCGTAAAAAAAGCAAGAGAAGCTCCTTCATTTAAATCGCGCGACAACTCCGTGATTTTCCTAAATTTTTTTTATCTCTTTTCCACTTCAAGCGCGCAATTTGTTAAAATCGTTATTGCAGAATATCCGCTTTTGCAGAGAATGCATTTTTTTGTGAGAAAGAAATTCGCGCGATTGTTTAAGAACATTATTAAAACTGTTACATGTTTTTAGTTTTTAAATTGCAATTGTAATCAATGTTTAAAATATTATCAGCGTTGTTTATATAAATATTTGAAAGTAAATTGATAAGTGAAATTAATTAATTATTACATTTAATTAAATTCTGAAAAATATAAAGATTAATCTCAGGCATACTACAGTGTACCAAATATTAACAAATACGACAAAAAAACAATGTTAATTTGATAAACATTTTATTCTGAAAATCATCCATGCGCGCAGGAAATTGTAAAACAATTTTTTTGCCGAAAAATAAAAGCAATGTCTCAAATTTTTCAATATTTATGGAATGAAACGCATCTTTGAGAAACAAAATTAATAGAATAAAATTTGATGTAAAAATTAGCGTCTCAAATTCTCTAAATTTCACGGGATAAAATATATTTCTGCAAAAAGAGAATATAATTTGACATTTGAATAAAATACGAAACAAAAACCCCAGGCGCTTCATATTTTGCAGAGTTCACGAAATACACTTTTAAAACAAAATAAAATATAGGACGGAATTCACACGCTCTATGCACAAAATAAAATACAGAAGCGCGGAACGGGCTTTCCGCTTCCGACTACAGGCCGCTCGCGCGGATTCAAGCGGCTTCCACGAGTCACCGGCGGTCCGGTTCTGTTATCTCGTCCGTAAATCACTGCGTAATGAGTTCAACTTTTTCAGAAGCGACAAAGCTGCCGCCAGCGGGGGGGAGGGAAAAAGAGGAAGAGCGCAGGAAAACAAGAGTTGCGATGGTGGAGGAGTTCTGCGCGGGGCGGCGGTCGAAGAACGAAGGGATGAAAGACACACGAGTCACATTGATAATCGCCTTCCCAGTTGTTTTTGCGTCCGGGAGACTTTGCAGCGAGACAGAAAGGGTGAGAAGAAGAGAATGGACGCTCATGACGAGGGGGGTGGGTGGGGGAGGGGAGAGCGATAAGGGGAGAACGATGGCGTGGCGGACGGGTGGATTTTGGGTCGGCGCAGCCAGCGGCAAAGCAGGAGGTGGCGACAGATATGGGTCAGGTAAGTGGGTCGTCTTGACTTAGGGCATTGCTTTTGCCACGCGACCACCTCCCTCTCGCTCGTATTTCCCTCGTGCCGTATCGCAATCTCCGCTGTCGGTATCTCTCAGCCCGATACGACGATATGTACCTCTTGTCACACAGTTTCGACAAGCGGATGCGATTCCTTCCTTTTTTGTTTTCTTTCATGAACGTTACGTCATTTTCTGTTCCACTCTCTCGCCCCTTTATGAATGGATCCCTTTCTTCCACGCGCATAGCCAAGATTATCCTCTCTGCTGCTTGCGCTCTGACTTTTCCTCTCTCACGCCAATCACGCTCACCGAAGTCCCGTTTGATCCCTTTGCGAACTCCCGTCGTACACTCTCGCGCGCTACACGGTAGATTGATTAACGTGACAGCGACGATGATCATTTCTCTCTACCCCTTTCTCCCTCTCCCTCTCTCTCTCTCTCTCTCTCTCTCTCTCTCTCTCTCTCTTTTAGACTTTTTCTAAAAATAATACCGGCTAGTTAATCTGTGCAGCTGGAAATCAATTTTTCTCTCTTTAACCTGCTTGTGCCGTTTGGGAAACTCTGTCGCGAAGTGTGTGTCGAGAAAGTTGTTCAATAATTCTACAGTGGAATATATTTTTGCTCGCGGAACTTTTTTTCAGTTTCACTTTGATTTGTGATTTATGATCTACCTTCCTTGTCGCTGCCTCTCAGCGCACGAGCGCGAGGAAGAGAATAGGAGGGAGGAAGAATGTGCTGCTCGAGATTTCTTGAGAAAAGCTGAAGAGGCGGGTCGGCTAATAAAAGTCATTTGCGTCGGTTTCCAGCTTGCGTATGCGTGCCTGAATTAAAACTTTATTTAGCTTTTACTTGTATGCACATAAAAGCGACGACGAAAAACACGGGGCGAAAAACGTTTCACGGCACATTTATATTCCAGAATATTCTAATCTTTGTAACGTTGAAGCGCTCTGCATCTTTTCGCAATTAAGGCGCAATTTTCCTTGAAAATCAACAAAACCGCGAGAGAAAAAGCTTCTGTCGCCTGTGTTGCGGTTTTCCATCCTTTTTTTTGCTCTCCCGCGGTGTGATTAAACAGCGGTTTTAATTTTTAATCCCTCCAGAACAGCGTGTCGTTATTGATTAGAAAGGCCACGCAGGCCGCCGTCGAATTACGTGATAGCGATTGGTCCAGACTGCGGGGGTGGCTGAAAGGGTGGAAATGCTCGCTCTGTCTTTCTTCTGCTGGCACGCCAAAATTTTCCTGCGTCGATTGCATTATCGTTTCGTTGCGTATTGTAGCGCACGACGGAATTTTTTCTTCATCCTTTTTCGCTCCGTGATTCTCGAAGACACGAATTTCGGCATCCAGTATTTTCCGAATTTATCCGAATTTAGAAGTGAGACGTTAAAACAGATATTAAATTAAGAGATTTTTGAGATTTATTTGCCGTCAAATCATTTCAAAACGTTAATTATAATTATAACTATAATTTTGAATGCGGAATGTGGAGACTGCAGATATATCGTATTCGCTTGGTTGCTATTAGAGCACGGAAATTTGACACGGTCGAGCAGTTTGGATCTTGAGATCGAATGTCAAATAATTCGGACCTCTCAAGCTAAAGATACATTCGAACAGTCCGAAATGTTAAAATTAGACGCTCTTTTTTTTTCTTTTCTTGCTTTGAATTGTTCGATTACGTTCGAGTCTTTTGTCTGAGCCCCAGTTCTTACCAACGCAGATAGTTGTAGTATCCTAGAAAGGAGAATTGGGTCAGCCGGCTTGGAGGACACTTCAGGTGTTCTATTCGTATCTAGCAGGACCACTTTGCTTATTCTCGCTCGTCGCACAAGAGAGGCGCAGCGCTGATCGTAAAAATCTATGACAAACTATCTATAGGCCGTGTTTAAAGTGGTGACATACGTCGATGCAGCAATCGCATCTTCAATTCGCACGGGAGCGTGAAGATTTCAAGATACCTTTCACGTTTGTCATTCGGGAGAAAGGAAAGCTATTTCTGCGCTTTAGCGTATAAAAATCATCGTGTGCAATTATATTTTGTTCTCTCTGCAGTACAGAAGAATTATCAAGTGACTTTAATTAATAAGCACCAATATTTTCGGCAGAGTTTTGATACAAGTAATTTTCAGTTCACTCGTATTCCCCTATGTGTCCTCTTTGGGAGGGATATTTTTTTTCTCGGTTATTTCTCATGCCTTCAATTCCCCCTGTCATTCCGATGCTGAGTATTCCTGCGACTACACGACAAAGGGGACGGAAATGAATCTCCGCTGTATCGCAAAAAAACTTTTCTTTCCGATTCTTTCTCTTTTCCAAAGAGACAGACGTTTCGGCCCATCTGAAGATACGTCCTCGATATCCCTTGAGGAAACAGAGGTCTTTGCGATAATACTTGACTAGAAGTTCAATCCGCTTCTGTAGATCGAACTGATCATCCTTCACTGATTAAAACGCACGGTAAACACGTTTATGTCAATTTATTATTAATGAATTATTGCTGGACGAATTATTAATTATACTATTGATTGACGTCTGTGCCATTTGTTTGATATAATTAGATGGTTATAATAGAATTAATTCGATCGCCTACTTCTGAACTTTCCTTCGTCTTTTTAAATCTCGAAAAATTGTCTCGTATTGTAGCGTTTTCTGCGCTAGACACGAGAAACACACATAATCGGGCATATATGATAGATAAAAATTTCTCCAGACAGAATATAGTTTATAATTATAAAACGCATTGCGAGAAGGATATGTTAGAACGTTGTATTTTTAAAGACAGCTATATAGATCAGACACTGATCCGCCTTATTGCCTATTCCGAGCTCACCGGTTAATCTCAAAGGCTTTTAATATTTAACAAACCTGTATAAGTATAGAGAAGGAAAGGTTTTTGTAAATCACCGGTTTGTCCCACGGGAGACAGCAAATTTAGACGGACGAACAGATGTATCGATATTGACATCTTTCGTTCTTCCGCGATATCTTTTTGCGTCCATCTTTAATTTTAAAAATTTGTATTTTTCTTAGAAAATACAACTACAAAATCACTTTTACATTAATTCTTAATCAGCATACAGAATGTTAAACCTTGCATCATAAACCGGGTTATATTTAATTTTAATAAAACTCGTAATTTTTTTAACATACATATAACGTCATAAATGTCAATTTGCAATAGATTAGACGATAAAATTTTTATAATATCATATTTTCGCAGCATGGAACACTTTTATAATTGTATAGAATGTAAAATAGGTTATATGACATTATAAATTATAAAATATATTTTTTATAGATGAAGGATAATCCACTAGTGTACATTAAATTAAAAAGTCATTATTATCTAAATGGAATCAGTGTGTTAATAATAATTAATTTTCTCTAACAATACGCGCTTTTAGAAGTGTTTTATAGGACATAAAAGGGTTTTGCGTTAATAGGAAAATGCACTAATTGAGAGGCTGGCAAGATAATAGTTTAACGCGCTTTAAGTCGTTAGTTTACTTATTTCCTGCT